CATCCATCCATCATCCATCCACCCATCCATTCACAATCCCTCCATCCATCTATCCATCCATCCATCATCCATCCACCCATCCATTCACAATCCCTCCATCCATCTATCCATCCATCCATCCATCCATCTATCCATCCATCCATCATCCATCCATCCATCTATCCATCATCCATCCATCCATCCATCCATCCATCATCCATCCATCATCCATCCATCCATCCATCCATTCACAATCCTTCCATCCATCCATCTATCCATCACCCATCCATTCACCCATCCATCCATTCATCCCCATCCATCCATCAACAAATACTGAGCACCTACCAGGTGCCAGGCACTCTTTGCTCTTCTCTCTTGGGTTTGTTGGCATTTTCCTGGTCTCAGAGGGATGTCTGCATTGATCCCCTCCAGAACATCAGCACCTGAGGGCAGTGTTGGGGGTGGGGACCACTACGGGCCAGCACTTGCTGAGCACTTACCCTGTGCAGGCTTTGTGCTCAGCTGTAGTAGGTTAAACTTTGATTAAGCCCTCATTTTACAGATGAGGAAACCAAGGTCAGGAGGAGAAGTGACATGCCCAGGGTCTGGAAACAGGAAGGTGGTGGGCAGGGCTGGGACTCCGGCGTCTGTCTCTAGGACTTGTGTTTTTTCCCGAACATGGTGGGCATGAGGTGGAATTCCCACCCCAGGGACTTCCCAAGGGACACACATGGCCACGCAGGTGGCGTATCGTTCCCAGCTGAGCCCACTTCACAGATGGCTCAGTCTCACAGCTGGAGGACCATGGGCTTGCTCCTCAGCGTCCCCCTGGAGTCTGATGAGACCCAGCACAAGGGGCCAACATGCCAAGCCCATGAACCAACGGAGACAAGTGACAAGGTGGGTGAGAGCTGGCATCAGGACACTGGCCAGGCCTCGGCCTTCGGCTCCCTGAGTGTGCCCGTGAAGAAGCTGGATGCACAGGGCACATGCTTTGCTTTTGCTGCCCCTCGTCCCCAGGAAACACTTCCCAGCTCCCTGGCCGGGAATGCGGTCCCTGCGGTGGTTACGAGTTCTAGTCACTCCAGCTCACAGTGGCTAAAACAAAGAAGGAGAGCTTATTGGTGCTTATAACTGACAGGTTGGAATGGGCCGCCTTCAGGCACGGCTGGATCCAGGGCAAGCTCAAGACCTCTGGCCATCTCTCAGCTCTCTCTGAGGGCCGCAGCAGCTCTGGACTCCAGCTTATCAGCTTTGCAACCCCCCGGTGGGGAGGGAGCCCACCCTTCAGAGCTTTCTGGAAAGTCCTGAGACAGCATGTCCTCAGATCAGCACGGCTGACAGCCCTGCCCCATGGTTGGGAGGTCCCACCCCTATTTACCATTCATATTTCAGAAACCCCTTGAGAGGGCTCTGGCTAGTCTGATTTGGTCCCTAGCCCTGTTTTGACCCCCTCCCGGCCAGTCACTCAGCCACCTCCTTCCTCTTCGCCCCCCGCCAAGCTCCCAGGCACCCTGGGCAGTTTTGAGGAGCCTCTGCTGCCCCCAGTTTAGAGCAGCAAACTGACAAGCTGACTCCACCCACAGCTCCCCAGATGCGAAGCCGCCCCAAGACGCCCCTCAACTCCTTGCAGACCCCAGACCTAACCCGCACTGTGCCCACTCCCCTTGGGACCCTCCCTCGGGCTCCAGCCCCACCTCCTCCCCAGACTCACTCCCACCCCACTCCGACCCCTCGACCCTCGGAGACCGCCCTTTCTCTTTTTCTTTGCTGCCAGACTGCAGGGGAGTGGTCCTCACACCCTCACCTCCCTGCCGCCTCCCGACACCGCAGCCACGTCCACTCCACAGCCGAACTGCGGGCCGGCCCCGGGTTAAGCATTGCCCACCCACCCGCATTGGTCTCCTGGGGCAGCCATAACCGATCACCACACAGTGGGTGGCTTAAAACAATAGGAATTTGTTCTCTCACCATCTGGAGTCCGAAACCAAGGTGTGGTAGGCTGCGCTCCCTCCAGAGGCTCCAGGGAAGGGTCCTTCCTGCCTCTTTCAGCTTCTGGGGCTCCAGGCGTCCCTCGGTTTGTGGCCACATGACCCCGATCTCTGCCTCCATCGTCTCATGGCCTCTCCTCTCTCTGTGTCGCCGGGTCTCAGATCTCCCTTTGTGTGTCCTTGTAAGGACACTCGTGATTAGATTTAGGGCCCACCCTAATTCAGGATGACCTCATCTCAAGATCGGCCCTCCAGACACTGCCCCCCTCAGCTGGAGGGTCAGATGTGGCCGCCACTCACTGGGGTCGCTGTCCGGGGGGTGCCCTGTTCATCTGTGGCTGTTCCCTGTCCACCGCCTCCTGTTACCCCACCTGACCTGTCATCCTGAGCCGCTTGCCTCCTCCTGGAAGCCCTCCAGGTTGCTCCGCCATGCCTTCCTAACTTTCCTAGCAGGGTCTGTCCCCCAGACCCCTCCTCATTGCCCACTCCTCAACCCAGCAGCCCATGGGCACCCTGACCTCCAGGCTTGCCCTTGGAACATTCTGGGGCCCCTCCCTGTCACCACGTCCCAGGCCCCACACCCTGCCCTCCATGCACTCCAGAGCATCCTTTCCCTCCTTCAGAATTCTGATGGCACCTGCTGACTGCTGACGGTCCAACTCACAGTCCCCCAGTCCTCTCCCATAGGGGAACCCCAGCCCTGAAGACCCGTGTCTGGCGGCCCCATGGGCCGAGGTCCTCGGCTCCCAGCTAGTCCCTTTGGGGACTGGGAGGCACCAAGGCCCCTCCCTGGAGGGGGATTCCCAGACCTCAGTTTCCCCATCTGCACCATAGCAGGTGGACCCTGTCCTGCAGGGGCTGAGGGGTCCCACACAACCACAGAGCTGGGCAGGCGCCCCGGGAAGGGACTGCCTGGCACCAGCCCCTCCATATCGGCCACGGCCGGCCCCACGGTTGGCGGCCCCCGGGCGGAAGTGGGGGACCTGAGCCTCAGGAAAGGGGGGCCTGGCTGGACCACCGCCCTCTGCAGACCCGATGCCCTGGTCTGGAACAGGACACAGCGCCTGACTTTCGGAACAGCTGGGCCCTGGAATCCGCGTATCCTGAGCCCTAATTCTGTCATCTGGAAGATGAGGGGGTGACGCGCTGGGTCTGAGCCCCCCTCCCCTGGCCCCTCCCCCGACACCCACACACCCCACACCACACGGAGGGCTCACGTGTAGTAAAAAGACTTTATTAAGAAGGCTTTGAAGTCAAAAAATAAAACTCTTGATACAATTTCTGAACCCTTAAGTCAGCTCAGCAAATATATAATCAGTAATTTAGCTGTGTAAGTTTAAAGGTCCCTTACTTTATTTAAAATAAAATATATTTTAGTTCTTAAAATTTATTCCATAAAGTACATATTTCCCTAAAAATTCCCTACATATACACAAGAGGTAAAAAGTAAAAGTTTAAAAAAAAAAAAAACAATTTAAAAAAATTTAAAAATTTGACAAGAACCACAGCAGAAGGGATTAATAATTAAAGAAAAAAAAAAAGTTAGAAATTTCTGGTTGGGACGCCCCTCGCCCCCCGCCCCCCTCCGGCCCGCGCGGCTGACGTTACAAAAGGGGAACCCAAGTCAGCCCCAACAAGGGAGTAAAAACGTCACCCTCCCCCTGGGGAGGTTCCTACGGGGCTGCCACCGCGCGGGAACCGACCGTCACATCAGAATCCCGCCACGTACAAAAAGACAACCGGGAGTTGTAAAAATCGTTTTTGTTTTTTTTTCTTAAAAAGATCGCCCTGGAGAGGGGCGTCTTAAATAAAAAGTGCAAGCAGACCATTTCTCTCGGGTTTATTTGAACCTATCGACTCAATACTGCTATTTGTTAAGAACTGAGGTGCCGCTGGGCCGCCGTCTCCACGCCTGGGACCGGAGTTAAAGCTCGTCTGTAAACACTGGCCACGCTGCCCGCCGCCCCCCGGACCTCCGCCCCGCGCCCCCTTTCCTCCCGCGCCCCCGGCGCCCTCCCGGAGCGCGTGCGCATGCGCACCCCCGGCGCCCGCGGACGGCCCTGGCGGCCGAAGTGACCAGCTAGGAAAAGATATGAATGGCCTGGGTGGCGGGCGTGCGGCAGGCCGGACACTCGGGCTCGCTCTTGCCGCAGATGCGGACGGCGCAGTCCATGCAGAAGAGGTTGTGGCCACAGGGCACCAGCGCGGCCATCACCTCGCCCTCGGCGCACACCACACACTCACGCGCCAGGGCCGGGGCGCCGGGGGCGGCCGGGGCGGGGGGCGCGGACAGCGCGGCAGAGGCCTTGCGGCTGCTTTCGGAGGCGCCCGAGTCCAGGGGGGCGCAGGCGGCGGCTGGGGAGCCGCTGGGCAGCGAGGTGGCCGTGGAGAAGCCGGCGCTGCCGGAGAAGGATGACAGTGCGCTCTGCGGGGGCCGCCAGGGCAGGGCGCCCACCGG